CGATGTTCTAAGAGCTGACGGAGTGTGATATTTGATGTACACATCAACGACCAGGGCGAAATCCCACCAGTTCCTCCCTATAGTATGTCCCACGCGTTGGGGATAGCATACGGAGGATGGTGGATGATAGTATCTTAGAGGCAACTGATGTCAGATTGATCCTTCTGTGATTGGCACTTGAAGTACGAGAACGTTTTAAATGATTAGGACAATTACTGAATATCACCAGGGAGAAGGTGACCTTTCTTCCTGCCCGTTCTTCAGGAAAAGCGATGTTAACTGATTGACAACTGCTGTTTCACCGTACTTGACCAATTCTGGGGGAAGTTCGTCTAGACCCGCAGCCTTAACGCGCTTCAGGAGCTGGATCTCTCTGGATGGTTTTAATGGCACTGCCCATGGCATGTGACCGGGTGTGTTAGGTGCGAAGTTGGACTGCGAGGAGTGACCAGACAGATTTGAAATGCTCGGCCTATACATCTCTGTAAGTTATTGATTTGTGACTCACCTGCCTTAAAGATGACTTCGCTGATCTCATACCTTCTATGCCCAGTAGTCAGATTGAACGGCGGCGTCTGTCTCCAAAGCAATTTGAACCACCAAACTTCTCAATCACAGCGAAGACTTCGTTTGAGTTGTTGGCTGACAATGCGGCAAAGTTGGTTGTGGTCTGGGTTTACTGGGAGAGTTCGGTGACGGTCGAACAGTGCCAAAGCGCGCAGAGATCCAACCCTTCGAGCGGTGATCAGTTAACCCACAGACTGGTTTACCCGAAGCTAGCATTGCATGCTGCAAGAAGCTCCAATGCCTTACTGCTCAGATGTGGTCATTGTACGTCAAAGACATTGCGAGACCGGTCGTCTTTGATCATCGGTGCTTTCATCATATCTAATGGAGTCATCAGATGGGCAGGCCGATGATGCGTACCAGCCTGTTTGATGCCAGTTTCTAGGGGGTCCTGCCAGGGTGTCTTTTGGACTCCAACCATTTGCACTGGTTAGTCGATATCTCTCGCACTTCTTAATACTTGGTTCTGTATTCCTTGCTGCTACCACCTTGTGTTCTACTCTCAAGGGACAAGTAGCAAACACACGGGAAGCAACTGACTTAAAACCGATAGATTGTCGCACTATTTTTTTGCATTGTACCACTTTGGTCATAGCAAGTCTTCGAGCTGTGCCGTCATTGCCTCCGCTCCGTTTTGGCCGGTACCCGAAAGGATTACACGTTTGCCTTGCAATCTGGAGGTCACCAGTTCAAATTCACCCTAGATGCTTGAGATTTCGCGCGACGTGGTGGTAGCGAAGGGTCGGTACGGTGTACCGGCGCATTGCTGATGCATTTCATTTCTGGTCTCTTGACCATACAAGCGGTTCTTTTTTCTATCTTTGTCTGAAATGTTCTGTTTTTTATTCTCACATCTTGTCATCTGGTTGTGTCTACGTGGACCGGCTCAACTGAGTCATGGCTGACCAACTTAAGTGAACTGAAATATCATTGATGCTCCGTAGTCTGCGATTGCAGCGTTAGTAACACTGAATCATTGCTGAGTGTACTTTAATGGTTCCACTCTCGTGTACCCTTTCAGTATGTGCTGCGGTTCGTTTCATCTGCGATTTCCCAACTACGATATTTGGTCACTTACTCCACTGACTATTCGCCTCGGGTTATTTCCCACTATTCTCTTTATGGAAGTTTTCTCATTTGTCTCCGATCTGCAGATCATCGCACTGCTAATTTGTAGTCGACGTGTGCAATGTCGCTACATATTTTGCTAGCATATTTATTGGTTTTAATTTTTTTATCCAGTTACGGAAATTCACTCTCTCTTTTATTGAACATATATTTATTTCACTATGAGAACCTATACATTTGTATTGTCCCGACCTGACACATTGATTGATCACCTTAGTTTCAGTCAATCCTACCATCGATGTGGTAGTATTTTGCATATCAGTAGACTATGGACTTTACAGGTCTCAGAGTTGGTTTCGGCGGACGCTCGCAACGACGCTGTGAGCGCATACACACCAATCAACTGGTTCTGAATGTATCTCAAACTGGCCTGGCATCTGAGCCAGGTAAGTACTCATTGAGCACAATCGAAGATCACAGTTCGCATATACGCTAAACGTCATTGTTAGCAGGCATGTCTTCATGTGGTAATTCTGATTTTAAAACTGAACATTGGGTCTCTACGTTGTCTCTAGAACTTATCGATGCCGCTGACACATTCGGGCTGAAAGCTAGCACAACGAGGCCCGCAAAGAAAGGACGAAGTTAAGTGCTGGCCTGAAGAGCAACCAGTAAGCCTAATGGTCTCATCGTGTATCGGAAATGGAAACAGCCGCTGTCCTTGTTAATCATCTCAAGTTATTCCGGCTAATGTGGGAACCAAGCAACAGGAGACCTGGTGTCACCGAGACTATATGCGACGAAAGTGGGCAGCCTATCCGCAGCTTGTCATAATGCTTAGATTGTCGGGCTGAACACCGTGAAAAGCAGTTTATTCATTGGAAATTACCAGCTTCCTTTTCGGCGCTTAGTCGCTCTTCTATCTGGGCTCTCCCCACCGACCCACTTTCACACGCAGAAGTCGAGTGTGATATCAGGCTGTTGAAATTAAATTAGGCTAGGGGAGCCGATGTACTTTCTCTAGCATTCTCCAAGTTGGAGGGATCTGCTCTTATGGATGATTTGCCCAACTTACTAATGAATCTATGGGAGCACAGACTGGAGCTGCTCCGTTGTAGTCCCGATCTTCAAGGGAGGTTCACGTTTGGAATGCGACAATCATAGAGGGATCAGTCTGCTCTCAGTTGCCTTGATTGTCCTCCACTAACATATTGACACCCGTGAAAGCTAGATTCGCGAGGAGCGATCCGGATGTTTTCGAAGTCAGGGTTGTATTTATCACATCTTCACATCACCTCACTTGTTCCAGCACCGCCATATTTATTGACGAGTCACCCTAGTCATGTTCCTCAACATCAAAAGCGCGTTCGATTCGGTGGATCGACGTGTCCTTTAGCACGGTCTGTTTACGAGAACATTATCAGATCGCTTTACTCATGCAGTTCGGACAGAGTAAGGGCTTACGGCAAGCTGTCGCCACCCCTCAGTATCCGGCCGTGTGAGGAAAAGTTACCCCCTCTCATCTTTCCTTTCCAACTTCGCCATTGACGAAGTCATGGAAACGGCGTTAACTGGCCACGACCTCCAAAGTGTGGAGCTGCTTCTAGGTGAGCGACTTTTTAACTTGGATTATGCCGACGACGTTGCCTTAATCTGTGACAGCTCCCAAACGTGCCAAGCTGCAGTGGACAAATTAGCTCTACATGTCAGTTGTCTCGGGCTATGCTTTGCACCTTTGAACTGCTAACTCCTCCAATATTGGCACGGAGCCAACTCCATGTTGATCCTTGGTAGGGGTTAGATAGAAGCCGTTCAAAATTTAAGTACCTAGGCAGCCATTTTAACGCACGTGAAATAGAATATGAGATCACAGACCATAAAGCAAATGCCTGAAGCGCTTATACTGATCTCCGCCACCTATGGCGCCGGTGCGACCTCGCTCTCGTGCTGACAGGCAGAGTTCACAACGCAACCGTGCGTTCAACCCTACTTTATGGTTGCGCAACCTGACCCATCAGATCGATAGACATAAACAGGCTAGCTACGTTCGACCATCAGTGTCTTCGTAGTTTAACTCGTGTCTGGTGGCAACCGCGTGAACAATAAGCGTGTTCAATGTCTCACATTTGGTACAGAAAGAACTGTGCAGGTACCGCTCAGCACCATTATATCACGCACCAGGCTCCGATGGCTGGGCAACGTGTTGTGCATGCCAGTTCACCGGCTCCCGCAGTGTGCGTTATTTGCGCGACCGGGGTCTGGATAGAGAAAGAGAGGCCAACCGATAACTTAGTCAGAATATATGAAGTCTCTCACTTCGAAGTTTGCGTCGTTTGGTACATCGCGACTTCCTGGTTTGTGTCCCAAGAACGATGAACACGTTTGGTTGGGTACACCTCTTGAAAGGTGAAGAGTAGACATCAGTGGCTTGTGTGTTGTAAGTTTCTTTCTCCCTCCTCGCCTACAGCTTCCCACTCCAACCACGATAACACTCTTGAAGCACGATGTTACTGAGCGTCGTATTACCAATTTTTGTTTCTTTTTGTATTTCGCTTTTTCACATACCTCCTCTTTTTGTATTGCGTCACCTTAGCTGAGGTGTTCCTCACCTTTAGCTAACGTGTAGTGATATGGATACAGATGGTTGACCTCGCCGTGTGACATGTTGCATAGCCCATTCATTACGGTTACTACGATTATTTGTGAACACGTTTCATAGGTCGCTCACAGCATCCGAGCTGTTAACTTCAGTAACACTCCTTATTTATAAGTCACGATAGGGCGGAAAACCCGCTTAGCGCTATTCTAGACGCATATTCACCGTTCATATTTGTGACAAGCCCTCTGCTTTGAACTTAAGCTTATGTTTAGCTCGAACAAACCACGCTAGTCGTGCTTGATTTCTCGCACCTCGGTCGACCTAACCGGCTTGAATTTAGGGCCAACAGTCTCGCCTCTGCTGTTAAGCATGGACCTTAGTCGACAGTTCCTCTTGTGGCCGACTGGGTCCTCAAATGTTTCCCTTCACAACATCCTGCGGACTGTTTGTAATGCAATGCAACTGGCCGTTTTTCTCAGTCCACTCCTCTTCAGGCCACTGAATCAAGCCCACTGGCCCGCTTTGTTGCGTTACCTCCACTTCTCCTCTTGTTCACGTTTTGCTTGTTAACCGAGTCTAATAATCTAGGAATTAGAATGATTTAATCAGATATACTAATGGGAACTTTAGTAATTTAACTTGTCCCTCTCCTCGCATACTTTAACATCTGATACTTCTCCGCTACATTATTCTATTTGACAATGAGTTGCGCTCGCTTTGCTGTTACTGCCACTTCATTCCGTTCATGGTATTTTCTACTTTGCAGCACGGTAGAAAGCTCAAGCGATGAATCTGACCACGACCACACAAAGCACCGCAAGACTAAAATTAAGAAGCATCGCAGCCAACACTCTCCGTCCAATTCGAGCAATGTCCCTGGTTTGGAGGTGGAGAGTGGTGATCACAAACGTCACTCGCGAAAGGCACGCGAATCCGAGAAGCCCCATTCAAAAAAGCGAAAGCATTCACACTCAGATCATCACCACCGAAAGCATCGACATTAATTGTGATCTTTTTGAATTTGAAGGTGTATATAATTACTTATCTAATTCGCCAACTCACTTATATTTTCCCTACCCTTGTTGCACTGTTTGTTACAGTTAGTTGCTTGATTGCATTGGTTTTATTCCCACGTTCTTCACCTGGTCGGTTTTCCACTGAGTGCCACGGAACGTTTTCTTTGCGTCACACTCGTGTTCTACTCGCACCCATGTGTACTCTCACTCAGTTATCAAAATCCACGGTAAACATTTCGTCGGTTTTTCTTCTGATTTGCACACAGTCATCAAATCCGATGTCTTTACTTGTGATAATTACCTCTGAACAATGTTCATTCCGGTTCAGCTCGCCGACCTACGTAATGGGTCTGGTTACATTGAGAATGGGTAAAGCGGTAAGCCTGATGTGAACGTGTCGATTGCGATACATGGGACCACTTGCCCTGAACCATGCTTCTGACATTACTAACCATATCAGCTGTAGCGACTATACGGAGCCTAGACTGAGTAATCGCACGAGACGGGTCTAAGAAACTGGGGGCTAATGGACCTATATACTATACGCACGGTCTCGGCAGCGAAAATAAAACGTAAATTCCTGTTACGTGGTACTATGATTCAAATTAAAGACAGTAATCAGTTTTGCAATCGTAGTGCGAAGGGGTGGAAACTGGAAGACGTGCGGCAGCATGGGAAAACAGCACAGGGTAACAGTTTGCCATTTCGAACATTCGTCCTCACAGTCTTCGGATGCTACGCGGACATACCTATTGTGTAGTGGAAGTCGTAACCTCGGAGGCCAGCCACTACCCTCTGCAGTGGAAGGAATCTGTATGACACTAGAGGATAGGTTGTGCTATATCCCAATTAATTTACAAGTTCAAACGGTCTGCTTCCGTCCCCGTGGCATAAGCTGCTGGCTAGTTGGCGTAAGTTGCTGTCGCTCATAGGTTCGATCCCTTGCAGGGAACCGGGGGAATGCGCACAGCTGACGAGCCCCAACAGGGCGAAACGATCATCTGCTACGTGTGACGCTCCGACCTGTCCGTTTCTTTCATGACAATCTAAACTAATCAGCCTGGTCACGAAATGTTGGGCGGGAAGCAGCATTGGATGTCTAGCGTCATACGGCAGTGATGAAAAATTCAACCTACCGCCTACTTGTAGAATACCGTTATGCAAACATGGACACAGTCCTTTCAACGAGCCATTCGCACGTTTAAAGCTTCTGACTGCTTCGTTTGATCGATTCTTTCCCAGTACTTTAACCTCATCCGCAAAGAAAAGTTGTACATTTCCCACCACTTCTGTTTCCGCTTCGAAAACGTCCAACGACTCCCGGTTGTGTAACTCGGACATCTTCCGCAGCTTTTCATCAAATGCCGCTTAAACCTGAGCAAGATAGTCACACGTTTCAGCTTGCCCTAGCTACCGCAATTTTTGAGCCTATCTAGCCAAATGTTGGTTCATGTTGTACAGTTGACGATATTTTCTTTCTTCAACCACTCGTTCGGAATTTCGCACAAACGTTCCAGTGCCCGGGTCCATGGACCTCTTCAAGAGGTAGGAAACCAGACCCGTCAAACCACTTTGTCATCAGGACTTCATCATTCACTCGCAATCCACGAGAGACTATGCATGCAGGGTTCACCAATGTTTCGACGTATCTCCACTGCTTTGGGGTGGAAAACTGATGCATCTCGGATGGCCTGTTCGCAACATAAGTTGTGAATCTTTTGATCGTATTACGAATCAGCTGTAGCACCACCATCGAGTCTGTCCAAAATGTCCGTGATCTCTTTAACTGCAACTCTTGAACCGCTTGAGTGGCTAACCGGATGGCAAGCACCCCCGCTGTTAATTCTAATCATGGTATTGAAGCTGCTATTATAGGCGAAACACGCAACTCCCATACTGATAGAACAAATCGGATTTTTTCGGTTGACGATCCTAAAGTAAATGGCCGCTCCGTACCTATCTTCCGAAGCATTTGACGAACAATACACATGTAGATCGTCGTCAGTGAATGGCTTTGGTCTGATACACCGTGGAATCTTCAATCGTTCTGGTTGCTGGACGTCTCTCGAGAAGCGGTACCATTTTTCTCGTTCTAATCCGTCTACCTGAGTATCCCAACTAAGTCCTTTTCGTATGGATGCTTGCAATAGTTGCTTAGCATGCAACAGTACTGGGGCTACTAAACCTAATAGGTCATAAATCAAAGTGACAAAAGATAAAGTCGATCTTCGGGTGCAGTCTCCTTTGAGTAAAGATTATGCAATCATCTGACAAATTCCACTTCAATCCCAGAGTGTGTTGTACGTTCTCGGATTGCAGAGGTAATTGAGCTGATTCGTCGGATTCCTCGTGATTTCGCGCAGAATTTGGAAGTTGTTACACTTCCATTTCCTGAAGCGGAATCCAACCTTGGGTGCAATTGCTTCACAATTCGTAATAAGACGGCCAGCTTCTCGGCTACGACAGCTGAACAGACAATCGTCAACGCAGAAACATCGCTGTATCAGCGCCATTATCGACTCGGGAAACTCCATCTTGCAGTCTTCGGTTGTTCTTCTAAGTGCGAATGATGCACAACATGGTGACGATGTTGCACCGAATGGATGGATCGTCATATGGAACACTAGATGATTCGTGTAACTGACCCTTTGACCATCATAGTAATATTAAGTAGTCTCTATCTTCCGGGGGTCACCATTACTTGGCTAAACATAGCTTCAATATCTGCAACCACTGCCACGGTGCCCATGCTGAACTTCAGCAAAACGCCGACTAAACTGTTCACCAGGTCCGGTCCTTTCAACAACTTGTGGGTTAAGGAAGTACCTTGGTAGGTGCTAGCACAGTTGAAAATGACTCGAACTTTACCAGGTTTATTTGTGTGCGTGATGGAACATATACCAACCGCTGTTCTTATTACCAAACGGTTTCGTGTTAATCATTTCTGCAAGCTCATTTGAAGTGTACTCGACCGTAGCAGTGTACATCTGATGTAATTCTGGGTTGCCGGTGGGTTTTCTGCGCAAGGACATCAACCTTCGGTAAGTCACCGGATAGTTAGGTGGATTTGAGCATCCATCTTTCCATGATAAACTGAATTGATAATCCGGGCCGCATTTAACAACGGACGACTCCAACTGCTCTAGATCACGCTTATTCTCGGCAGACATTCCAGTTTTTAAGCTACATGACTCAGTACAGTCCAACTCGTTCATTCTCTCGATCTATAATCTCCGTTAATAACGATACAAATGCGACTGATCCTTCAACTGGTCCAAGCAGGATCCAACCCATTGACGTTCGTATAACAAAACGGTCCGAGCACTTTCCATATCGACTCTCAAGTGCTCAGTGGGCTTTCGGGACATCCATACCAATTAATACTTCGACACCTCGACCATAACTTTAAATACTCCCAAGTATGTAATCGTTCCGGTTCCGGTATTATCCTTCGTACGTTAGGCATTCTTTTGACGGACCACGTCTGATTTACGCACAGAGATTTACCCCCATCCAAGCGTTACAGCTCTAGTCGTACCAACTGCGAGCACACGCATGTCACCGTTGCTAACTGCACAACTGACGGCCTAGTTGGTTAATTAAGTTCCCGTAGTAGCTGTTCGTGAACAAGCGATGAATCAAATCCGGGGTCAAGTAAAGCATTCGTCACCATTGTCTTGTTCATCCCACGCAATACAACTGGAATAATTCCTAGGGCCACTCGGCCTCGAGACGCAGTCGCTTCGTTGACCACTGCCCTTGGTGAGGTCAGTGCTTCAACTTAGCTTCGTGTAACAAAGGGTAGTGTTCCAATTAGCAACCGTTGAGTCCGCAAATGAATCGGGATCTACAATTTGCAGACGTGTGGTTGGATTTGAGGCACAATTCCTATAAACCTTTCCAAAAAACGGCGAGCAAGCGCTCGGTACTGTCCATAGTTTGGAATCGAGGACATTGATCAAGGTAATGATGTCCTGTGCACGTCGCACACCCCTGCTAGCACATGAAATCCTTTTTTCGGTCCTCAAAGTCCTTCAAGTCTTTCAAAGTCCAGTTAAATAAGGGTGGCTACTTGAACTACTCGGTATTCCATCGAGGAGCATACATATATGTGTATGGTACGTTAAATGATAAATAAAGATTTTATCTAATATCCGTATTAGTCTGTCGAACATCTTCCGACTTCTTGAGTTTTGGTGCGCTCTGAAATTGGTAGTTTCCGCCGGCAGTACTCAGTTTGGTTGCCACTTCTGCTCTGCTGCAGTGGAGTTCGTTTCCGATTGTTCATCATAAACAGTTACGAACAGTTTTGGCTGGGTAAGATGCCGTTTTGACGAGAATTACGTATAAGATAGCGCATGTATTTCAGTATAATACTGCATGCATTATCCTGTCAACTTTTGCGGTGGTGCTTTGGCTTGCGGCTTGCTATCGCGCTGGTACATTGTACATTCTTATCATTAGTTGCGCTATTATACGTGGATTACTTCACTGTGAGTTTATCCTCTGTTTTAAAGTGCGCATTGGCATAATAACCTGTTAGCGATATTGCGACACATTTGTGTATCTTTACTGATCAAGTTTAATGTACATGTATTGCGGAATTAGGCCTCATGTACATAACATATATATTTATTACAATTTTCGTTCCAATCACCTTTCATAATTGGTGGTTGCGCGTAGGGACAGCGATTCGTGGCCTAATTCATCTATTTCAGCGTTATGACCCCATTGATATATATTGCGTTGTTTCCCTGATTACCTCCACCGTTACCACACACGCAGGCAACAGTTGGTAGAAAGTGTTTTATTCAAGTCACATCTGCACGTAGGTTACTTATCTGGAAGGGGAGCACGGAGACATTGTCGGAGATACAGCATATTTTGACGCAAGAAACACGGATTCCGAAAACGAAGCTTTTCGTTGAAATGCAAGGCAAGCAACCGCATTGCTCTTTCATCCCTGTCATAGCTGCTCTGTGAGAAAGGTTCTCTAGCAGCAATATATCATCGGATGACATAACGCAATATGTGAGGAAATACTTGAAGTCTATTCGTGGGAACGCATGGCGCGACTCCGCCAAAGATTGTTCAAACAGCCAGCAGGTAATGGTGCATTACTTAATTCCATTTTGTACTTAAGGTGTTCGAAATAGTGGACTTGGACATTCCAGACGACAGCGTAGAAGAAGCAAAGTTTAAAACGGAACCTTGACCTCTTTTGGTAATATTACTGTAAA